GATCATGCTTATGGAGCAGCATTTTGATGTTCTTTGAAAGGCAATTCTGTCTATTCTTTGGAGGAATATGAATAGATGAGATTTCCTGGGCTCTTGTTATGTAGAACAAAGCATCAAAATTTTGTGTTAACCTCAGCTACTGAAGATCATGTCCTGAGGTGGTTTTATTCGCAGAACTATTCTGTGAGATGGAGGAAGTGGCCACAGTCAGGTGAGGAGGTGACCAGCTGGGCCCCTGCAGACATTAAGAAGCAGAAGTCGGATTTGTAGCAGGCAGGGCAACTCTGGGTAGGGAGGACTGAGCTTGGTAGAGAGCCATAGGGTGTGTCCTTTACTCATTCTAATCGTCTGTAGCTCCAAGGAACTCTTCAAATTCTTGCTTGTTCAGTTTTTCTCATATCCAGATGTGAATATTTAAGAGATTATCATAGCTTTTGGTGTACATCCTATGATGCAGCACACCAAATATTCTCTATAGCTTGAAAAGAAGGTGACCGAAGTGTTTGTGAAAGGTCATGGAACATGTTATAAGACAGCTTAAAAATACAAGCTCTTTGTATGATGTTGAGTTTCATACGTGTGAACACATCAACAGAGCCAGCCTCACCAAACCACCATGCATTTCACAGAAGGACAAGTCTCCAGCCCTGCTGTTGATGCTGATACCTTGGATTTCTAATCTAATTCTGAGCAAAGTCTCAGCTCAATGCCCAGATCTGAATCTCCGGGGACAGGCTATGATGTTCCCTTGTAAAAGTGTAACTTGTCTTGGAGCAATATATCACTTCTGTTTTGATTAATGAGCAACATATAAAGAGAATGCTGACTCAAAGTATGACAAAGAACAGTAAGCCTGTTAGTCCCTGTATAAGCACCATGGCTTATACAGGTAAGAATATGTGTGAGAGTCTTACTATCAGCTTAAGCTTCTCTGTCAAGGTTTCCCTGCATAGGAGATATAGACTCAGACCTGGCAGCAGGACTAAACTAGAATAATCAGACTGCTTTCCTCTACTCTATACCGTTTTTTTCTATTTTTCTACTTCAGCACTATACAACAAGAATGGGTATTAAAAAATAATTCTATGTATTTAGTTTGCAGTCATACACACACACACACACACACACACACACACATTTTTCTTCTTCAAATATTTTGGTTACTAGTCAGATTATAGAGACAAATATAGCCATACAACATCTATGTTTTCAATGACTGAAGCTTAGAGATGCAAAATAATTTATATGAAGAATAACAGATGTTTCACTCGAGTGGATGGATTTTCTTCTCTGTTGCTTCATAATCGGGCTTTTCCAGCTGATCTGAAGTCCCATCTACTCTCCTCAAACCATCTCTGTCAGTCACCAGTGAGGGCCTTGAGAGCTGGTTGCTACAGTCCTCACCAACTTTGGGAGAATTCCTGGTGCATCATTTCTACAGCCCTTTATCTGTACTCCTCCAAGTGTTTATAATTCTATTATTTAACAGCTTTGCTGAGATCTCAGGCAGCCCTCCTTAATGGACCAGATGAATTTTTTCCAGCTTAACATACATACCTCTTTGCTCTTGGTTTTTCCTAACACAGCAAACTATACTGATTACTTTTTTTTCTGTAGGAGGGTCTACATCTCCTACTTTATTTCCTCCCTTCCCTCTCTCCCATGCCTCTGTTTCTCTTTCTTGTAAATGTACACTCACCTACCCCATGGAATCAACTTCTGAGATACTGACTTTCAAATAAGTGAATTTAAGAATGAGGTGGTGATTTATTATCACCCTTATTCTGAATCTTCATTCTTCATAAAATTCACATTTTCAGAGGAACACTTTTATGGAAAAAATGAAGTAAAGGTATTTGTTAAAATGGCGACCATACGTGCCTCTACCATTCCCTTGTCTCATTTGGATCTGTATTCACTGAGCATGTAGCTCACCAAGTAGTTCAATAAGGAGGAATGGATGTCTACTCCTGAAGTTCCATCAACAGAGCTTAGAACCAGTGAGCACCACAAGCATTCTCACCCAACCCAGTGGAGGAAATAGAAACTATGGGAACTTGAGAGGAGGGTCAACATACCACGTGTATAAAGTGGTATTTCTCTTTGCCACAGATCACTTAAAAACTCAGTGCTGCTGGAATGAAACTACCACCTGCTGACCATGAGGGGTGAGCCACGTCAGGGGCAACCTGTCCCCAGGCCTCTTCATGACACAAGGAGGACACACTGACACACTCTATAAATCTTAGATCACCAGTGCTGAGAGTCAACATATTTTTTAAATATTTTAAAATTTGAACTACTTACTATTATAGGTTGTTTAGTTTATTATTATTATTTTCTATTATAGCTATATCATTTGTATTATTATTCATGAACTAAGACATAGCATATAAAACAAATTGGTGTACATATACACACACGAAACTGTCAGCTAATAAAATGGCTGTTTGGAGCATGGATAATAAAATAAGTATTTTAATATGATTTCTGAGAAATGGTTACCCAAGGTCAGCATAGTCACTGAAAAAAGAGAAGGAAGTTGGGCTTTTATCTATCTTCATTAGGAACTCAAAGGCACAATGCCCTCAGTGGCGCTTACCCATAAACAACTTGCATAATTAGTAATATTTCTTCTTTAAATACTTTGAATAGAGAAGGTAGTTGACAAGGTTTGTGGGAATCACAGAAAAAGACTGACCGGGCATGTTCCCAATACCATCCTTGAAGCAAAGACAGCATAACTATTGTATCTTGTAATATTTTGATCTTTCAGACATTTTAAATGTGAGTAGAGAAATTTGAATAGAAGGCACAAGAATTTTCTAGACTGTTTGGCTTTCTACAGAATTACTGCATTCATGCCATCCTGTGATTGCATTCCTGGTTTTGTCATAGGAAGAGGATGTAGAGATGTCAGTAATGATTTCACATAGCTTCCTCCTCCCCTGCCTTTGCTGTCAACCCCACTAGAGTCTTCTCATTTCTTGGTGCTCACATGGCTGAGTGTTCAGAAACGAGTTCTCCATAACAAAGGGAAATGGAGTTACCATCACTGTAAACATCAGAGGAAGGAATAAACACTGCCTACCTGCTTCCTTTCTGTCATCCAAAAAAGTTACCTAAGCAACATTGAATCTATTTGCAGACACAGAAGGAAAAATCATCATGAAGATGAAAGGCACCTCGAATTGTTATTAATTAGATAGTACATGATATTAGCTAGAATCTTGGAAAAGCATAAATCTTGGTTTAGGGAACCAGAACTCCAGAAGTCGGTCTTGTATAAAAATGAGATAAACTTTCTATACTGGCTGCAGACTCAGACCTTATCCAACAAGCCTTCTCCATGTGACCCTGAGCATGCCATAAAGTGCCTCTTAGCATTATCTCCTCTCTTTATACAAAGATCATTGTGAAAGAATAAACAAAACAAACACTGAGCAAAGTGGCTGACACCATATTTTCAATTTTTAAAATATTACCTTGAACAAATCACAAAACCTCTTTTTTCATTCATGAAATGGGAATAATATTGATACCTTACTCATACTGTGAATGTCAATGACAGTAGGAAAAAACTGAAGTTTATTGAAGACACTCACATGCAAACATATAGATGTATGATTAAATACAAAGGCAGTGGAGAATAAAGCAGAAACATTTAAAATATAAGGATGTAAAATGTACCCAGAGAGGCCCAGCGGTGGGTGGCACATGCCTTTAATCCCAGCACTCGGGAGGCAAAGGCAGGAGGATCTCTGTGAGTTCGAGACCAGCCTGCTCTACAAGAGCTAGTTCCAGGACAGCCTCCAAAGCCTCAGAGAAACCCTGTCTCAAAATAAACAAAAATGTACCAAGAGTAGATAAAACAAGCTATTAAAAATTATCCCAATTTAATGAAACAGTAAATGACTGCTTAAAAAACATCGGTAATCTGCTCTAGTTACTGTCTAGTGATGGACTTGATCTGAAAGATGCCTGTCTCTTAGCCATTTCACACTATTATACAAATTGAGGTGTGGAATTGTAAAGGAAGATGCAGAGACAGGCTTAAGTCCACATCCATAAACTTACTAACCTGGAGCTGTACATTTAGCCCATGGCCTCTCAGAAACATCCCAATTAACAAGAACCCCATCCCTGCTGTGGCAGTGTGGAATGTATGGCTGGGTAGTTCCTGAGAATGCCTGAAGCTTTCACAGGGAAAGTGGTAACATCACACTTCAAATGCAGATACAGCAATAGAGGGAGCCATTATAGGTTTAAAGAGAATTCTGGCACTAGGGAAATGTCCAGAGATTTATGAGTTTGACCCCAAGTAGCATTCTAAGCATTCTAACTGCCCTTCTCCAATAATGAGATTGCTGACTACCTTATATGTCATCCTAGAGCCTCCATCCAGTAGCTGATGGAAGCAGAAGCAGACACCCATAGCTAAACACTGAACTGAACTCTGGAATCCAGCTGCAGAGAGGGAGGAGTCATGAGCAAATGGGTCAGAACTAGACTACAGAAACCCACAGGGACAGCTGACCTGAACAAGGGGGAGCTCATGGACCCTAGACTGATAGTTGGGAAACCAGCATAGAACTGTTCCAGACCCCGTGAACATGGATATAAAGTTTGGAGGTCTAAGCAATCTATGGGGCCTCTGGTAGTGGATCAGTATTTATCCCCAGTATACAAATGGACTTTGGGAGTCCCCTCCACATAGAGGGATACTCTCTCAGCCTAGACACATAGGGTCTAGGCCCTGCTCCAAATGATATGACAGACTTTGAAGATCCCCATGGAAGGCCTCACCCTCCTTGGGGAGCAGAAAGGGGTTGGGGCGGGGGAGGAGAGGGAGGGAGAGAGAACTGGGATTGACATGTAAAACAAGCTTGTTTCTAATAAAAAAAAAATAAATAAATGCAGGTCTGCCTGAAAAAGAAGCTTATAGTCCTCTCCTTCGTCCCTCTGTAGGTTTTGACCAAACCCTCACAGGTGACACTTACTCTTCTTTGCTTCCTCTAGCTTGTCCTTGGCCCTTTTCTCTGCTTGCAGGAGCTGTTGGATCCCTTGAGACTGGCTGGTCATGGTGCCTTGCTCCAAGGAAGGTGACTTCTCTGGAAGCTGGGACACACAGGCCCTTTTATCCTCTAATGGAGCACAACAGAACTCAGCTTGTTTTGTCAACAGTGAACGTTTGTCCCAACACAGTTGTTTGTTCCAAACTTTCCTGATTGGACCAGAGAGTTATGTGTCAAGGTGAGCTCAAGGAGGAACCCAGAAAAACAAGGCAGTCACTCCAAGAGGCTGAAAATTCCTTTTGTCTCTGACATCAACTCTAAATAAACAAGGCAACTTTTTTGTTGTTGTTGTTTGGTTTTTGTTTTTGTTTTTGTTTTTGTTTTTCGAGACAGGGTTTCTCTGTGGCTTTGGAGGCTGTCCTGGAACTAGCTTTTGTAGACCAAGCTGGTCTCAAACTCACAGAGATCCACCTGCCTCTGCCTCCCGAGTGCTGGGATTAAAGGTGTGCGCCACCAACTCCCTTAAACAAGGCAATTCTAATGGGCTGTTCAGTTTACTTCAAAGGAATGGGTAAGACATCTTTATGTACACTAGTCTATCATATATCCCCAAATACTGAGCCGTTGCTGGATTACATTCCAGGTTGCAGCATTCCCCTGATCCTTGTGCCTGTAATACTTGGCTCAGGCCTTTCTCTGTCTCTGCTTGAGGAAATATTTGCTTGAGGGAAATTGATTTTCCTTCTTTGAGGGGGCAGATTTTTCTGGCTTTGTTGGAGAGGACCTATTATTTTCATGTTCTAGGCCTCAGGTGACAGGAAAGAAAGAGTAAATGGGACATATTGTGTCCTTCTCCTGTGATGCTTTGTTGTGGTTCAAGATGATCTTACTACAGTGTCTAAATCAACAATAAGAGGATTTATTCCCATGCACTTGAGATTAATTTAAGTGTACCTTTTCTATTTCTTGGTGTCTATGCACACCTATGTATAGTGGACAATAATGTCCTCATATTTCTTCTGATTCTGGCCAGTAACAGACAAATGAGAAAGCCACTCATAGCAAACAATACAATGTAACATTTATATATATATCCCCCACTTTTATTGGAAAGGAGGGGTAAATTTCTTTTTAGCTCAGACTGTGATCTACAGATTGGCTTTTCATGGCCTTTGGCTTCATAAGCAACACACTTGTCACCTGGTCTGTAAGGGTCACTTTCTTTCAATGGGCTCCTAGATTTAGAAATAATTTTGAAACAAACTAAGAGCTAAACTTTAAAGGCCAGTTTTTCCTTGTTGAAATACATATATATATATGTGTGTGTGTGTGTGTGTGTGTGTGTGTGTGTGTGTATACATACATACATACATACATACATACATACATACATACATACATCTTCTAATTCTTTATTGACTCTTTGGGGATTTCACCTCATGCACCTCAGTCCTGCTTACTTCACAGTCTCTTTATATCTGCCCCTCACCTCTGCAGCATCATCCCCCAAAGAACGCCCCCAAATGAACTCAAAACAAAACAAACAAGAAATCCACCTCACTCTTCATGTTTCCTTCCTTTTCATCTTTCCTAGTGGCGCTGGGAGTTTTGCTATATTGTACAGTATACCCTTTTGTCAATCAGCCCCACCTGCAAAAGTTCATTGTAATGAGGCTTGGTGTGGTTCAAGGCCTCTGGCCTCTGGCTTCTTGTATACCATCATCGTTGGGCATTCACTGAAACTCATCTCAGCTCTCCTGCTGTTGTCCTGAGTCATGGAGATCCTGCAGCTATCTTCCAGCAGGATCAGTCCCATCACACACTCCAGCAGGTCACAGATGTTAATATTCAGGCATCTGTACTGGCCTGTCCTTGGGATTCTGACAGGATTCGCCCTCAGCTGCAGCCACTAAGAGCACCACCTGTGCATATTCACTACATTCCCTTTTAAAAGGGCCCTGCCCACCTCCCCTCTCCTTCTCCCTCTTTCTCCCTTCCCTCCCTCTCCTCTCCCCTCCCCTCCCCCTCTTCTCTCTGCTTCTCTGCCTGTCTCTCTGTCTCCCCTCCCTTCCTTTCCCCTCCCCCTCCTCTCTCTCCACCTCTCTCTCTCTCTCTCTCTCTCTCTCTCTCTCTCTCTCCTTCTGCTGCTCCTGTCCCCAGAGGCCGGTCTTTCCTCTCCCTTCCCCCTTTTCCCATTCATTCCCCCCCCCCAATAAAATACCCTCCACCCAAGCTCTGTTCCATGGCGTCTTTCTCTAGCACACTGCTTTTTAAAATTACAACAATAAATGGAGTAGCTGTTAGGGTGGGCCAACCCAAGGGCCAGGATGTAGGCCTGGGTAGTAGCTGAGCAGGTCAGTCTAGGCCTCCAGGACCACCCCCCCATCATGCAAGGGTCAGAGCCAGCTCTGCTATGCCCAAGGTAAGGGGTGGAGCTATATCTCCCAAGTGAGGGGTTCAGTGGTCCCATGAGGAGTGGGATAAGCTCTCCTGCTTCAGTGTCGACTCAAGGGCACAGCCAGCTATCACAGCACCAGTGAAGGGTAGGGTCGGCTCAGCATAGCCCTCAGATTTCAGCAAGCACCATTCCTGTGGCTCCCTGTGGTAACACATGCTATGGACATCAACATAGACCCGAGTTGCAAAAGGATCATGGATCCAGACAACACTTGGAAGCAGGTCGGGCTGGATATCACCATGGCCCTGGTGACAGCACAGGCCATCCAGATCAGTTTGCCCCAGAGGTCGCATGGCTCTTGGACATAAACATGGCTCTCAAATGGCTGACCAGATCCCACACATCAGCATGGCCTTCAATGGTCACTGAAGTCATGGACATCAATTCAGGTCCTGGATGCTATAGAACTATGGACTCAGACATGGTACTTGGCAGCAGCTCAGGCTTGTCTGTCACCATGGCATCAGGTGGCAAACCAGCACCCACATCAGTCTTTTACTCACTGACTTCACTTTGTCAATTCTGCCTCTTTCCAGAGCTCATGCACCATTCTGTTTCTCTTTCTCTCTCATTTCTGCACTATATATTTGCTCTTCGTAATGGCACCTTCCTGTGGAGGCCTGTGGATGCCTTCAGCCAGCCAGGACTGGACCTGGGATGGCCTTTGGATTTTGGATGTCTTTCACCTCAGGTGAGTGGTACCAGGAAGGCCTGTGGATGTCTTCAGCCGCCCAGACTGTGAGGACAAAGGCTGGGCCCTTTTCAGGTTTTAAAGATTTTTTTTTCCTAATCTTTCAAAGTGTCACATTTACACCAGCGGCTTTGCAGTGTGTGTGTGTGTGTGTGTGTGTGTGTGTGTGTGTGTGTGTGTATCAGCCTTGGCAAATCTTTCCAAGGTGTTAAGCTTTTTTCCCCACATGATCTTTTTTTTCTCCTTTTTAAAATTTAAATTGGAAACAACCTTATTTTATATATCAATCCCAGTTCCCTCTCCCTCCTATTCTCCCCTGCCCTGCACCGACCCCCCCATCCCACTTTGGTTCCATAGAAAGGTCTTCTATGGAGATCATCAAAGTCTGTCACATCATTTGTGGCAGGGTCTAGGTCCTCCCCCATGTGTCTAGGATGAGACAGTATCCCTTTATAGGGAATGAGCTCCCAATGTCCATTTGTACACTAGGGATAAAAGCTGTGCCATCACCAATGACCCCCAAGACTTCCCAGGCCTCCTGACACCCACGTGCAGGGGACCTGGTTCTGTCCTATGCTGGTTTGCAAGCTGTCTGTCTGGGATCCATAAGCTCTCCCTTGTTCAGCTCAGCTGTTTCTGTGGGTTTCCCCAGCATGATCTTGACCACTTTGCTCATCACACCTCCCTCTCTAGAACTGGACTCCAGGAATTCAGCTCAGTACTTAGCTGTGGGTCTCTGCTTCTGCTTCCATCAGCAACTGGATGAAGGCTCTATGATGGTATATAAGGTAGACATCAATCTCATTATAGTGGAAGGACATTTAAGACTGCCTTTCCTCTATTGCTTAGATTCTTAGCTGGGGTCATCCTTGTAGATATCTGGACATTTCCCTAGTGCCAGATTTCTCTTTAAACATATAATGGCTACCTCAATTAAGGTATCTTTTCTTGCTTTCCTCTATTCTTCCCCCAACTCTTTCTGGTCCCTCATGTCCTACTCTCCCCTCCTCTTCTCCCCTTCTCTGTCTCCTAACTCCCTCTGCCCTCCCCCCTCCCAATATGCTCAGGAGATCTTGTCCCTTTCCCCTTCTCTGGGGGACTGTGTATGTCTCTCTTAGGGTCCTCTTTGTTTCCTAGCTTCTCTGGAGATGTGGGGATTGTAGGTTGGTAATTTTTTTTCTCTATGTCTAATATCCATAGATGAGTGAGTACATACCATGTTTGTCTTTTTGTGACTGGGTTACCTCACTCAGGATGGTTTCTTCTAGTTCCATCCATTTGCCTGTGAATTTCAAGGTTTCATTATTTTTCCCAATGAGTAATACTCCATTGTGTAAATGTACCACATTTTCTTTATCCTTTCTTCAGTTGAGGGGCATCTAGGTTGCTTCCAGGTTTTGGATATTTTAAATAATGCTGCTATGAACATAGTTGAACAGATGTCCTTGTTGTATGAATGTGGATCCTTTGGGTATATGTATAAGAGTGGAATTGCTGGATCTTGAGGTAGACTGATTGCCAAAATCCTGAGGAATCACAATACTGATTTCCAAAGTGGCTGTACAAGTTTGCACTCCCACCAGCAGTTGAGGAGTGTTCCCCTTTCTCTACATCCTGTCCAGCAAAAATTGTCATTGGTGCTTTTGATTTTAGCCATTCTGACAGGTGCAAGATGGTATCTCTGAGTTGTTTTGATTTGCATTTCCCTGATGGCTAAGGATGTTGAGCACTTTCTTAAGTGCCTTTCAGCTATTTTGGACTCCTCTGTTGAAAATTCTCAATTCAGTTCTGTACCCCACTTTTTAATTGGATTGTTTGGTGTTTTGGTGACTAGCTTCGTAAGTTCTTTGTATATTTTGGGAATTAGTCCTATGTGGGGTTGGTGAAGATCTTTTCCCTTTCTGTGGGCTGCCATTTT